ATATATAAAACTAGTTATTCCGGCAAACGTTGTTTTGCCATATAAATTATTTTTAGTTTCTAGATAAATTTTAGTGTAGACAAAAGGTAACTTACACATTATTAGTGTGTAAGTATGTAAAACTTGATTAACTGAACTAATCGTGCCAAATTCACTTAAGATTAATAATTTTATTATCTCTAATATAAAAATGAATCGCAAAATGTGTTGGTGCCCGCTTCACCCAACAACGCCTAGATCAATTTGGCCAATTCTTCATTTAAAATGTTCGATAAAGTCTAAGGGTGGTTTTTACGGCGACAAAAATTGGAATAATTACCGGGAAAACGGAAAAAAGGTGAGGTTTTCTTTTTTCAATCGATTAACGAAACAAATTCCGCAGCCTTCTTCGACTTATTTTTGATTTATTGTTTTATATGCTGTTTTGCGCAAAGTGTTTTCTACTGAGTTTTCTTTTGTCCACTGACAAACGAAACAAATTCCGCAGGTTTGTTTGATTCATTTCGTTTTTTGTGCAAAGTGGTCAATTCGGGATGTTTTAGTGGGTCCCACTAATATAATTTGTTCTTGATAGGGTGGCGAAAGTTCGTGGAAGCGCCCTGTCAACGGGGTGACTGTTCTGTTCAGGAGAATTTTTTGCACCGACTATAAAATAGGAAGGAACAAAATCTGCCACATTCCAAATTTTTTTAACAGAACGAAGTCTGTTGGGTCCGCTAGTTATGAATAAAACAGTAATAATTAATAGTTAATATGAGAGTTACACTGAGATAGCAATATGATAATTGTAAACGTTACTACTACACTTGATACATATACCATAATGATGGCCGAAAACTGTGTAGTGAGTGAAACAGGAGACCAAATGAAAGTGAATCCAAAGTAAATACTGGATCGAAGCGTTATACGTGTCTGTTGGTAAACCACATTTTTTTTCAAGCGGATGGTTTCTCAATTCGTGAACACGCATCGTATAACTGCCCATTTGAAAAACAATGATTTTCTAAATTTATCCCGCAAACACTAAGCGATCGGCCTTGCGACTTGTTAATTGTGATTGCGAACGCAAGGCGAACTGGAAATTGCAATCGTTTGAAGTCAAACGGAAGATCAGTCTGAATCATTGGTATTCGAGGAATACATAAATTTTCACCTGCGTACTTTCCGTTAATAATGGTTGCCCCAATCAAATTCGGCATAAGTCTTTTGAACGAAAATCGAGTACCGTTGTTCCATAACTGAATTGATTGTGAAGGAAGATGTGATAATTATAATTGCGAACAGCGTTCGCATTTGGTACCCATTTGATGAAACAACTGAATCCGCAAGTGTTAAATCCCAATGAGAATCGTTCTCTAGCAAACCCAATAGTTGACATGCTTCTCGATATGTTCGGCATTGGTGGCCATTCACAGTTTTCAAATGCGCAAATGATTTTGGTCCACGTACAATTACCAACAGCAGTCGTAAATAAAAACATTCATCATTTCTAGGATGAACAGTATACATGTGACTGGAACTGGGGTTCCTTGTTTGCAACGTTGGAATTTCTTTGTTGATTGATTCCAAGTGTAATACTTGGGCATTTCAACGTACATCTGCGTCGCTGCGAATGGATCTCCTTTACACATTTCAAAGCAGTTAGTCAATGTTGTCGATGGTGGTCTCTCAGCTCCTTGTGCCGCATTAGCCTCAGTGAAGTAAACTCTTTGGCCTTTTTCCAAATGCACTGCTAAATGTACAACTGTGGGATATTTTTTATGAATTTGAAATGACAATAATCGTCAAAGTGATTCATTAGTACTGATGAATCTATCCATTTGGAAGTTGCTGATTACGTCATTCCGACGCAATACCAAACACAGCCATATCGCTGCCTTTTGTGACGTACTTGCACAAATATTTGATTGATTTGGCCGAATGACAACTCTTAACGTTTGCATGTGTTTCAAAAATTCGTGATAGCAGCGGGCAATATGGTACAATGAATTCATATCATCTCTTGATTTTGAACTTTAACTTTGATAGTTCGATCATTATCTTCTTTTGAACGCCGACAATAAACTGGATATCGTTCCCTGTGTGTGTTTCAGCAACTAACGGTCGCGGATATTGTTGTGTGCACTTTGCATCAGCCATGCAAAGCGTTAATGGATTTAATGCACCGCACGGTCCATGCACCATCTATGTCATCACAATGTCGTGTAGATGGGCTGATATGATGTCATCCACTTCATTTGAATGTAAATTGTTCAGCAACCAAATTAGGATATGAGCATGCGGTAGTCCACGCTTCTGCCATTCCACCGAGTACATATAACAACGTGTGTCACCAAAAACTCGATACTTAGTAAGCACATCCATCATAACCTTGAGTTATTGCTGCAATACTCTGGCGATTATGTCATGGCGATCATGTGGTTTTTGGCCCGGTTCCAACTCACGTTCAATTTCCGTCCACTTCGGAATGCATGTGAACGTAATCCGGAGTTCCATAATTTCGCACGTACGTCATAGCGTCTTGAGCGTATTCGTGCATGTGGTGTGGGCTTCCGATATAAGATGATGGGAGAATCGTCAGACGTCAAAAATTCTAAACATCACCATCTGGATGAATAGCATCACGCAAGTGTATATAGTCCTCAGATCGTAGCTTTGCCTGATTAAATTGTATGAAAGCTAAACGATCGGTCTCGACTTTGACATGCATATCGACAGCGAATTGCTGGAATAGTCGACGGCACTTCAGAATGACATTCTCCTCATGTGTATGAATCATCATACCATATGCATAGTAATTCTTTGCGCTTAGATTTTTATTCGTTGATACGCCTGAAAATGCAAAATTAAATGAATTGTTAATGGAAACCAATAATAGCAATAATTAGTGTGTAATTATTGTTGTACCGGTAATTAGATCGACCATCTTCAACGTGGTTTCGTGTCCGTCTTGCCCTTGCCAATAAATGATTGGATATTGTAACACATCGTACAAACGATGCATGATATTGCTTCTTCGCTGAACGATAATGTCTCGCTCTTAGGACAAATTTGTTCGTATCCGATGGCATTCGTTCCCATGCTGTTTTGAACATATTAACCACAGCATCATTAGCGTGAAAAAATGCTTGCAACTGTTCAATAATTCGTCTCTTTAACTGTTGGGTCCCTTGTATATTGCATCACACATTCAGCTGATCCACCATTGACGAAATTTGCAGAAATTGAGGCGGTTCATCTGGTGTTGACACCATTGAACCATGCAAATGATATAATTGTCCTTGTATCTGTAATTGAAAAAAATCATTTGTTGACAAATACGGTGTAACTTCTGATCGTGTGATGGTGTAGTATGTGGTGTATATGTAGTTGTTATGTGTTGCAATTTATTGTGTTGGTGTGAGTGATTGGTTATGTGTGTTGTATCTTTTACCTTGCAAGTCGGCATGAAACCGCCTTCTTGAATGATATCAGCTCCAAAGGAAGTCATGCGAAAGCAGTTATTGTATTCAAGGATGTGTTGAAGAAAATGGCTTGAATCAGGATCACTTCCATCGAACAATAGTTTCAGTGACTGTGGTGGTGTAAGTAATGGATCCAGTTTGATCTTTCCACTTGCCCAGCACAATCCACGCATTGCAATATCGGCATATAGTCGTCATTGGTCCAATATCTAAATTTTCATCATCACTGTAGTTCGCAGAGGGATCATATTCCAATGCCAAGTGATTGTATGATGCCAATGATCTTGGTGTGCTTACGCGTGGTCTCAATCGGGCATTTTCTCTTATTTTATTTTGTCTTTCTTCGCTTAAGTTCTGTGAATTCACTTATTGCTGGCTTGCATGACTTGTGGGGTGGCCGATGTTCGCACGTCGTCCTCAAGGCATTTTGGACTATGGACAGAGTGGTGAATTAAACCTCAAATGAACGATCCACATAATTTACACAGTTCAACCTACCACCTCAAAGCCAAATGCCTGCTGTTTTAATTGAATAAAAATTTGCATCACGTGTATGAATGATTTGATGGTTTCCATTGTAAAAGTTAGGAAACGATTAACTTTTTTAAATTTTTTTTTAACTATTTCACAGGGAACACAATACCTTTTTGTAACATGAAATTACTTAATCAGAAAATCTACTTAAAGTATTTGGTTTTTAGTACATGGTACTTATCAGATACAGCTCTTTATTTTAAAAGAGATTTTCCCGCTTTTCTGTTGAAATTTTTCCTCAATTTTTTTTGCTATAAACCTCTCTGAGCCCGAGACCTTTCCAACGAATGCAAAACTGTGGAAATCAGTTGGTGCGTTCTGGAGTTATAGCGTCAGGAAGGAAAACCAGACTTATTTTTATATAGTAAAAAAATGCTAGTTCCACGTTGCGGTTTTTGTATTTCAACTTTTGCATTTTAAATCATCGAAACTTGCTCGCACTTATACAATCTGTAAGGTTATAAGTGCCATATCGCGCGCCGGCCCACGTGACGCTTCGGTTCATATCGTGCCCCTCCGATACGAGCAGCAGCAGCGCCTGCTTTGACGTGTTTGACTGACGTCGCATGGCATTTCATACCGTCTTGCTCCGTCTCGAGTAGGTACATAATGAATATTATATGCGGCTTGGCCGTCCGTATATAAAGTACCACTTTTTGAGTATAAAAACCGTGGAAAAACTGGCGCTTTCGAGGTGGAAGTAGAAAATAATGATTAAAAACATCTTTACCAAATTAGATAATTTACATATTTAGTTTGAAAAATAAATCAATGTATGCAAGCTTTTTTCGAAATATCATTTACTCGAATATATTTAAAATTGAACCATTTTGATATCTTCATCACTCAAACATAAGTATTACACAGAACTCCGTAATAATCACGCCGCAGCGGCGGCGATATATCGTTTAATTAATGTCTTTTAAACGATTCTATAAAGGAATGAATATTCTTTTGGAATGTGTGCATTCGAGTTTTGTACTTTTCACATATTTTTGCACATTTGTTGTAACTATTTACTGCTCGGTACAATGCACGTTGTGTTATCCGAATTTTTTCAGTTATTGCTTTCATTTTATTAGTCTTCGCAACTAATTGTTGGTATAGTAACTCATATTGTAGCAAGACGTCACTGCTTTCATCCAACAAGAATTCTGGAATTGTGCTGCCACTATTCTCAATATACATCTCAAAATTCTCAGAAGTAATATTATCAACGGTTTCAGCCTTTCGCAGTTTATCGGCTTCTGCATAGGCAATATCATATTCTGCAAATAGCGAACCAAAATTATTGTTCATATTTTGTATATTACGCGGTAAAAATGCGAAATAATGCTTCAGTGAATTCACACCGCGCTCTTTATGATTCATATTATTGCAAAATTCTTTGAAGCAGTCTGCAAACATGTCATCAATCAAGTCAGGAATAGTTTGGCTTTGCAATGATTCAGAGGAATTAATTGGCAACTCGACCTTAGTAATCGTACTATTAGTAATCTCCATTGCTTCTCTTTTTGATAACGATGAAGTGATATGATTTACGTCGGGGTTTGACCAGTCTTGTATAACTCCCTCCATTGAACCAATTTCAAATTTAACCTCCTTGGAAGGAGGTTCTCCTTGGTTGTCATTGCCATGGTGAACCTTCGGCAAGAATTTAAATTAGATTAAAACAAATTAAAAATATTTCGTTTAATAATGTTGAAAATATTAAGACATATTTTAATAACATCCCAAAACGCCTGATTAATACTTAACAGTTTTGAACAGGCAGCTTATAACGTGCCTCTTAGTTAAGATAATAAATAAAAAACGTTTAGAAACGAGCAAGATAAATGCGACGTGAAACTTGGTCAAAGCATCATAAACAGCACTACCGGTTTAGTGGCAATCATTTTTTCACTTACGCGTTTTAGATTAGGATCACTATGAGGATCACTCTTGGGATACATCATCCTGATCACAGCTCCAAATTTATCTATGAAAGATGGAAATGATTGTGACATCGGATATATTTTTTGTTTACAAATAACAAACTACAAATGGTTTGACGTACTATAACGAAGTTTTCCGAATAATTCACGAAGCTGTATAAGCTTGTAGTATACCTACCTCTTATTCCTGTCTTTATATCTCCAGTAGGAATGTAGGAGTATTTAAATATGTTTATGCAAACTTAATAAATTATATTCCACTGCACCACAGGCTCGTTACGTCGATTTCGGCGAATCAAACAGGCGAGCGGCAATTGTACTCGTATATCAAGTAGGCAGATGCGGTGCTGACATCAACTGTGAATGTCACTTGACATTTACTAAAGTCATGGTTGGGAGTTTAAGACGTCGGGTTGCTTTAAGATTCTACTTGTAATAATTTAACGTTTTACTTTTATTTCTAACTAGCTGACCCGGCAAACTTTGTTCCACCTCGCTTTGCTCTTGTGATTGAGAGGCGCTTTTCACGTGCAATTTCTTGTTCTTCTTCAGTCCGTCCTTCTATTCGCAATATTTCGAATCTTAGTTGCATTACGGTTTTGTCGGGAAAGATTTGATCGTCTAGGTCGCAGCATGTTGATTGGGGAAGCTACGAAGCATCGCACAAAGAGGAGACGGAGATAATAAAAAACTTTGTATTTGTGCTCTCTTATTCTCCCGCAGGATAATCCATATAAGCGAATATTTTTTTAAGAAATAACTCCACATGTGGTCTCTAATTCAAAATCTCTTACTCTCTAATTATACAATCTCTATATGTTTCACAATCTCAACTTCTCCTCTTTTACGCTGTCGTCTCTTTGCCACGTACTCTACTCGACTCCCCTCTTGCCTGTCTTCTCTCGCACTCCTCGAGTATCCTTCCCTCTTCACTCGCAGCGCTTGCGCGCAGTCCAGCCGACTACGCCCCAAGGCCATACTTACAATTCGTCATGGCCTTTTTCTTACGCTTCATCGGGCTGCCAGCCGGCTTCTTCTTGACAACCGCTGGCGTGGACTTCGACTTCTTCTTCTCTCTTTTAATTGGCTTCACGTCTTTGTAGTCATCATTGTCTTCCAAGCGCGAGCAATTCTTCGATTGCACCACCGTCTTTTCATCCTCTTTGCTATCATATTTCCGTTTAGACGTATACAAACGCACCGCCAATAGTTTATCTTTGCTGGAACTGCTATGTTGGCGATCCTTGTCCTTGGAGCTCTTGTGGTCCTTGGTGCGACTCTGATGATCACGATGCTTGTCGCAATGCTCCGACTTGGAACTCTGGTGCTTGTCTGGCGAGCTGAACTCGTTCGACATGTCATGCTCATGCTGGTCGTTGTTCGACGGCGAGACAAACTCAGTAGCTGAATTACCAACGTCCATAGCGGCAAGTTTGGAACACAGCTCTTGGCCGAATGCGGGCGCTGCCTCGTCCGAAGTACCCACGATTAAATCTCGGTGGGGTTGTTCACATCCCCCGCTGACTTCAACTCTCCCCGGATCTCAAAGCCCACAAAAACCAACCCGCCTACCCGCATCGTATGGTCTGTCACGAGTTGCTTCTCCCAGCGTGTGCATTGGTACCTTCCTGGGCTTCTCAAAATACGTCATGGCTAGAAACGGTTCCTGGGAGCTGTTGCCTGTAGCCTGGTCGATCTAAGAGCGTCCTCCCCAGCAACAGGTCAAAAGGCTGGGCAGCGTGCTCCATGACGAGTAGCTGTTCCTGCTCGCACACGTCTTCAATATTTATTGTGGTTCCTACCTTACCCTTAGTCGCTACCATTTTCTGGCCAAAACCTCGCAAAGAGGTCACGTGTGGCAGCAGTTTCAGTCGTGCACACAGCACTCCCCGGATCGACGTAGGCCGTCACTGTGTGGTTTCCACCTATGGAGGCTTCCTTTAGGTACTTGACACACTCCTCTCCTGGTAGAGCAACATGGAACTGTGCCTATGATCCGGGGGACTCCTGTTTAACTTCAGTGGTAACTGGGGGCGAATGGCAATAGCGTGCCACGTGACCGTAGTTTCGGCAACGGAAACATAACGGCCGTCCGTCCCGGCCTCGAGCTGGGAGTCTCGCCGCGGCGGCTGGTTGGTCTTTTAGTGCCGCTGGTGTCGTGTACGCCATGAAGTGCTTGCTAGTGGGAACTTCCCGGAAAGACACGGTCGTTGGCATTGCCTAAAGGGCAGTCGGTGGGCCCGTCCTCGGTCCAGAGATATTTTCTCCAATCTTAAAACGTCGTGAAGTAAATCATTGACACTCGTGTATTGGTTGAGCGCTACGGCGTTAGCTGAGCCTCTAGAAAATAACCCGACCGTTATCTGTTCGCATGTCCCTCGGTGGTTGAGATCTAGTTTGCGGCAGAGCGAGGCCTTCTCATACACGTAAGCGTCGGTCGCCTCGCCGCGGCGCTGGATTCGAGCGATCATCTCCGCGTGGCGCTCCGTCAGGCTTTTCCTCTCGCAAAACGCCTCCTCGAAATCTCTAACAAACTCGCTAAACGTGTTCATATTCGCGTTCAATGCATAACAGTGTCTAGCCCCGCCTTCCAGTACGTCTGGAATGATGATCGGTGATGATCGGCGCAGACACCTGTTGTGCTTGGCGCGCAAGACCGGCGACGACTTAATCGTGACGCCGGTTCTCGGTGGAGGTTAGTCGCTTACGCAAATCATTTACCTCCACACCTGTGAATACGAATAAAATGAAGGTTATACTTAGGCTATAATGTACTTTCAGACAACTTTATAAACAAGTGAATTTTTACTGTACCTTTCTCTGTTTCATTCTTCCTATCCTTTCATGATCAATAATATTTTCAACACACGTTTCTTCGCGGGTGGACATGTCGGCGGCAGCGATTTCAACGGCGCAATTGTTTGCACACCAACTACCAGAAAAAAATCAAAAAAAAGTTCAAGAATGTCCACGAAATTATAAGCATTTAAAGAATATACGATTCAATTACCTCGTCTTATTTTTTCCTATATTCAATAGATGAAAGCACAGACACGCAACGCCAAAACCAGAACACAAATGCTACGACAAATGCTGAATAGCATACCCGAGGTCGCATATACGTGAAAATGATGAATAAGCGGTTTGCAAAGACGCACGGAAAGCAAATGTGTTAAACATCGCCGCGATTCGAGGCCAACAATTTGGCGCATCTCCCTAGGTCGGACCTGAAGTGTCATTTTTTTTCATGGTCATATACAGGACGTTCGCGCCGTGATGAATATAAACAGGGTCGGCTTCATTTTGGAGTGTCAGTTACCAGGGTGGTATTTTTAAATGAGATTAATTTTTAAAAATTCAATTATTCCTGACATTCTGATTATGTCAAGGTACGTGCCGTACTCTTAACCGCTCCTTCTACCACATAGTTTGCACTGCTAAACTTGCTCTGTATTCTGTTTCTACACTTATAGTTTTGTTCATAGTCGGGTGCGCGCGAAGTAGCACGTTCATGCTACGAGCTTTCTTTATGATACATCCTTTGTATGGTATGTGGTATTGTACAGGTATGCCAACAGCTTTCGACCATGTATTCCCAGTAACTACTAATCTAATCCAAAGTAGTAATTACCTAGATCTTTAACCTTTCAAGATTATTACTCAAACAACTAACAAACGAAATTTGGTACTTTCCAGGGTTTTGGAGAACGTTTTAAAAACAAACAGTTTTTTACCTTGAAAATTTATAACTAAAAACATGACTGAGCATTTAAAAAATGTAAAAACCAATTTTGATTCTATTGAACTCAGAAGAGTAGAAGTTGTCTTGGATGGGAAGGAATATTCAGCTAAAAACGATAGTAAACAAGTGACCCATGGAACCAGAAGGAACCGAGGTATTTATAGTTACTTCATATTTCCTATAAGTTTTAAGTTTTACGTTTATAATATTTTTAGAATCCAGCCAGCAATAAGGGTATTCACAGAACTTAAGTGAAGAAAGACAAAATAAAATAAGAGAAAATGCCCGATTGAGACAACGCGTAAGCATACCAAGATCATTGGCATCATACAATCGCTTGGCATTGGAATATGATCCCACTGTGAACTACAGTGATGATGAAAATTTAGATATTGGACCAATGATGACTATATGCTAATATTGCAATGCGTGGATTGTGCTAAGTAAGCGAAAGGTCAACTGGATCCATTACTTACACCACCACAGTCACCGAAAACTATTGTTCTGGATGGAAGTGATCCCGATTCTCAGCTCTTCTTCAACACATCCTTGAATACAATAACTGGCCAGATGACTTCCCTTTGAGCTGATATTCAAGAAGGCGGTCGACTCTGTAAGGTAAAAAGATACAACACACATAAACCGAATCACCTCACACCAACACAATAAATTAAACACATAACAACTACATATACACCACATACTCACACCACACACTACGTTCAGAAGTTAACCGTATCAACAAATGATTTTTTCACCACAGATACAAGGACAATTATATCATTTGCATGGTTCACGGTGTCAACACCAGATGTGAACCGCCTCACCGCAAAATTCTCCGTCAATGGTGCGGATCAGCTGAATGATGCAATATACAAGGACACAACAAAGAGACGAATTATTGAAATTAACAGTTGCAAAGGCTCTCTTTCACGCCAATGCTGCACCAACCATTCTTGTTCTTGTGGTTAATGATACTTGGAAATAATGTTGCTGATTCGTGTTTCGATTGTGACAAAGTTACAGAAATCCGGAGGAAATGAAATCAATCCGCTCGATTCTTCGTCGACACTCGAATCATTACTGATAAATAAAGCAATTGCTCAGAGAAATTCTTGTACCGTTCAGCAATACAACTCTCATGTTGTCCGGCCCAAGCATCTTCACCCATTTCCGCTATAGACTTTGATGACTTGAGGCAAGCGATTTTCGCCGGCAAAAGCGCAATTGATCTTGGAATTACTGCATCTTGAGTCATTGCGTAGATCTTTCAATATTCGGTTGTTCCCTTCCAAATGCACGTTTATGCGCCATATTGTGCATCGTCCCAGATGATACTTTTTGATGTTGATAAAACTTTGCCGGTCATGGAGTGTTTGGCAATATTATATGTTGGTTCTTCAATAATTTGGAGATTTAACTTGAAATTTAGTTTGTTGAGTTTATCGGCATCCTTCCAACAATGCTGCTATTCCAGAAGATCAACTGCAACCGCAATAAGCTGGGATCTACCGAACAGTGGCTACAACTATTGACATGAGGAACCCCATGGTTCCCGGTATCCTGGGGCATTTGTTATGCAAATCACCATTCATCGTACCGCCCTTCTTGCTAAGGTCATAAACATCCTTTGTTGGGATTCAATAGGGTAATTTTTCTTCACCACAAATTTAATTCTGGTGATCATATGCACGTTCCCCGTTCCAATTCTCGATAAAAAGCATGGTGCGAGCCAGCGCGCCTTGTGGCGCCGGGTTCAAAGCTGAGTAAAGTGCAGAAGCGACTGATGCGTGTGATTTTAGCTGGCTGTAAGCAGCGGAGAGTCTTAGAGGTGCTCGAGAAGTGAGGCGATCTTCACCGATGCTCGGTAACTACTACTTATTCATCCAAAATGTCTAAGTGCAAAACTTTCAGGTACATACTTTGCCCAAGGGCAGACCTTCGTAGCAATCTTAAGATAGCTTAATTACTATACAGCGATAAATGTTAACAATTAAAGGTATCGTAAAGGGTCAGTGTGTGACGTGATGGATCCGTTCATCTGCGAATGTGTTTAGTTTACTACTGTATCTACGTGTAAATTGTACTGGTAATTTTCAAACATTATTAAGTGTGTTGATATACATATTACGATGTTACCCTAGATTGCACCATTGTATAACTTAATTGTATTTATTGTCTAAGTTCCCGGCGACGCACCATCGGTTCAAATCAAACACACAAATGAATTCGTGAGAGCTGCTTTTCGTTTGCGGTGCAAACAGAAAGCATGTCGAAATTATGATAGCAAATAATGTGCGTATCTGACTTGGAGATGCAGAGGTAATAGGCATGATGACTACTTTGAAACTAATTCAATGTGCTGTCAGTATTTAAAATAGTCGAAATAGTATTTCTGGAAAAAAAATTAAGGTTTTGATGAAAATTTGACATTTTAATTTAAACTTAGCGCCAAAACACTGTGAATAGTAATGGCGTCTGTGTGACGTCACGCTTTCGTAAACACTTGACACTTCTGGCATGTTAATCAGCTTATTTTTTCTATATTATTTAATTATTTTGAGCTATAATGATGAATTCTAACGTGTATCGATGCAGGAAAAGTGTCTCCCACGTAATAAATACATCGTGATAAAGACTCCGAATGTTGTTCATTAATGTTCCAATAACTAAAAACGGAGAAATGTACATGTTAAATCTTGTAAGCAAGGAGACGAGTTCAGTTATTATATCGCCAAATCCAAAGTACTTTATTTCCCTGCAGTTAATTGATGATGTAAGTATTTGATTATTTTTTACTATCGTTATAGTGTTCAGTCTTGTAATTATAATGTCGAGATTAACAATAGATTGTTCCAGTTACCAAAATGATATGGAAAAATGAGAGTGAAATGTATCATGTGATGGGTTCAGTTTCACAAGTCCAGAGTGATATCAGGTGTAATCCCCAACAAGATTTGAATGCCAACCAGACAAGAAAACGAACTTCAACAGAGCGTCCCATGTTCTTAAAAAGCAACGGAAAATATTAATCGAAGATAGTAAAAGGCTTAGCTGAGGAAAAGACCCGACAATTTGTTTTAGAAGTCGCTGGCAGTTCATCTGATCATTCAGTTTCACACACCGAAGAAGCACAAGAAGAGCCTAAAACCGGCCGAAATTGGTTGATAAATCAGTACAAGTATTACATTGAAAAAAAAAATTTAGAAGCAAAGCAGTCCAGACAGAAATGAAATTAGTAAACCAGTTGACACCAATGAAACCCCGGATTGTGGAGGCGAGTAACTGCATACAAGCTTGGTTGAATCATGCGTGATTCTGACCAGGTACTGGTATGTGTGATGGCAGACAGAGGTTTCAAACATGTCGAACAATACTTACGTAGTGAGGGTATACAACTTCAGGACGCACCCCTGCAAGGTCACTGGAGCTAAGTTGTCTAAAGGCGCAGGTCAAAGAAAAGATATTGTATACATCTGGGTAGGTTAGGAATTGTAGACGTGCGCCGCTTACTTTCAACACAAAACAACTCGATTATTGTACCCTAGTATACATTAACGTTTAAAAATATGAAAAATTAAAAAATATATTTTCAATTAAAAGTGATGCAATCAAAAATTAATATTTTAAACTATGTATGTACTTCGGATTTAGTTTACAAAAAAAGCAATTAGCAATTAAATGACTAAACTTTTGAACTGCAAAGATCTAAAACTGAGTTCTACTTAAAGCTTCACAGGATACCGAGACTTTTCTCGTATCGTCTCAGTCTCGTATCGCTTTTCCGAGACGATACCAAGACCGAGACGATACCTTTGATAGTCTCGTCCAGTCTCGTCTCGTGTGAAGCCCTGTCTCTAATTCAAACGAATGGTACTTAAAGTCTGTCGATGTTGTTCGCTTGCTCTGAAACGCGACTACATGTTTCTTCTGTTCTTTTATCTGCATTAAAATTCCTCCATAACCGTCTGGACTTGCGTCTAAAAGTTCTTTGACTTTCTCACGCATTGATTCTCTTTCTTCGAATGAGAGACGATAAGGGCGTCTTTGTACTGTTTTTGTTGAGTCTATAAGTCTGATCTCAAGTGTGCCCGTATTTACGCGCAGTAATGGCATTTTGGTCACAAAGTATTCAGAGAAACTACTTATCACGCTTTCGAGTTTTGCTTTTTAACAAGCTGAAATATGTGTGTCTAAATTCTCTAATTTAAAAGTTGGGTTGTCTGGAACACACGAGTGAATGCAGGAAGAATGAGGGCTCTGTTAAAGAAAAACACAAGCTCAAGTTTTAATAACGACGATCTATTGCCACAATGACTGTAAATGAAAATAACCCTGATATCGCTGTTTATATGTGTAAGTTTAGCGCGTTTGCCGTGGAAAAGCAAACAAACAATACAAATATATGCCAGCGCCTACTATAGGACAAAACATCGAATTCAACTTAACTAAATATAACTTCAACACTTTCCTTTGTTTATCTAAGTTGAATTTACAAGTCCTTGGTCATGATGTCCGCCTATTGATCTTCAGTGGAAATTTGTTGAACACCAAGTTTTCCTTCTGTCACTTTTTCTCTTATAAAAAAGGGTTTGATGGCAATGTGTTTGGTTCAGCGATGAAACTCCGGATTTTGTGCTAGTCTCACCGCTGCCGAGTTGTCAACTCGAATGACAGGAATATTCCTGAGTTTGACAATCTCTTGAAGAAGTCTGCTTAACCAAACTGCTTCTTTGGCTCCTTCGTGTGCTGCAATAATCTCTGCTTCGGTGGTTGAAGTTGCAACAACTGCCTGTCGCTGACTCATCCAGGAAATTGCACTTCCTGCATACTTCACGAGAACGCCAGAAGTGGAGCGCCCTGTCTTACAGCAACCGCCAAAGTCTGCATCATTGTAAACTTCTAAAACTCCCTCTTCTTTATTGCTTCGATAGGTTATTCCAAAGTCTAGAGCAGTGGTTCCTAACCATTTCAAGGTCACTACCCCTGTGAACAAGTATGGGAATTGAGTTTACCCCTACCTAATTTAAAATAAGTAAAACCACATAAATTCGAATGAAAATATGCTAATTATGTAAGAAATTGCACGTTTACGTAACTAGCAAAGTAATATTTAAATTTATATA